ATGACAACTTTATAAAATATGATGCTCTATCAATTCACCCAATGACATGGGGTCTATAAATATGTCTATACAACAGGAAAATTAACTCCACAACATCCGAAATCCTAGATATAGTCATATTATAATACTATAATGTAGCCTACTAACAATACTGGCCAGTTGTTCTGTTATGTGCACTAATTTTGGTACTTTAATGACATTTTGCTGACTAGTGAAGAATGTTTACAGTATTATATTGTTGCTTTTACTTCTCCCGCCACTAGTGAAGATCATATTTTTATGGCACAAGTAACAAGAATGCCTTTCACAGCTTAGGCTGGTTTGTGTTTACACTGTGGGAGGTTCGACTGCAGAACTCGTGTTCATGTTCTGTGTGATCAAACCAGAGGAATAAAATAAAAGGCATCCATAGGGAGGTGTGTGGTGGGAGGGGGGGTCCTGTGGTTCTGTTGGTGGCCCGTTTATCTCCGCCCTCCAGTGTCCGGCTCCCGTGAGGGCGGCTCTTTAAATTGCTCCCAAACTCCTCCTGGCTGGCGCCTTTTTCCCTTTATCTGCACGAGACGGGACGCACGTGCCTTCTACAGGACGCCGTTGGCATACACTCTTCAACCTGCTGGTAAATAAAAACAACAGTGTTTTGTTTTTAAAACCCTCTTCCTTTAATAATTTATAACTGTTTTTATTTATTTATTTATTTATTTTATTTATTTTTTTTTACCGCGGCATGAGCTGGGGTTTTAAAGGGGCGGGCTGTGTGTAGTCTGACGAATAAATGCTGTAGCCTATAGTTCGGTGCAAGCCTTTTAAACCGGGTACAACCAGCCAGGCTTAAAGGAAACATTTCGTCTTGAATTTAGAGCAGAGGTTATAGCGAGCGATAACGGTGAGTGCACGATAACGCGCCGGCGAAACTTTGCATGCAGACTCGATTGTAATGCGTTTTACAGAGCTGCAGCTCCGGCATGAGGAGGCTGCATGCTTTAAAATGTGAAGCAGTCTTTTGTTGCTTTCGCCTCTGCAAACGTGCTACCATTAAACCGTGTCGCTCGCTTTCATTTTCGGCGCTTTGTAAAGGGGCGAGCGGCCATGGAGGCGAGGGTTTTAGTCCTCAACCACGACCGAGCACACACCAGCCATTGCGTGTGTGGGTAGATAGTTCTCCGTGGGCCCGGCGTGCACACATGCTGTGAGATAGTTTCATACGCAGGCCCGATTGTTGGCCACAACTAGTACAGCAGCGGGCCCCTTAACATGGTTGCTACGGGAAGGGAGCATCGGGTTCGGTAGTCTTCTGCAGATTTGTGCGGCCTACGGAGTCCCAGCAGGGACGCTATCATGCGCGCTGATCTTATATCAATCGCTTGGTTGTGTGGCACCGTTCGCCTGTGTAACACAGCGCAGATGAGACAGAAATAGACGTTGAAATAAACACAGATTACGTGTGTCAAACGTGCTGCCGGTGTGTGGTTCGCCCGCTCCTTCGTGGTCTTGTTGTAGCGGGGGTCAACGAGTTTACTAGCCCGAGTGTTTTCTGTGCTGCATGTGCGCGAACTCGCCGACTCCTCTTGCAGCAAGTCTAACCCACTGTGATTTATTTGCTAGGTCTGGAAAGCTAAGCTAACATGAGCGACAAGGGGACAGTCTCACCGAAAGAGAAGGAGGCAACGGAGAAGAGGGGGCGTGGAAGACCCCGCAAGCAGCCCCTAGTAAAAACCTCTGATGTAAGTAGTGCCAGTTTTGTTTTGTTTTACCCTTGTTAGGACAAATGTGCCATGCGTGTTTATGGAAATATCACTAACTGAAAATGCCAAGAATAAGCCTGTGTTAAGGAAATACTTGGGACTAACAAAACAAACCTTTGGCTCACATCTGTTCGGTTGATGCTCGGGTAGATATTATTGCAGGTAAGGTTGTCCATGCATATCCATGTCATAAGCTCCTGCTATTCTACCGGAGCCTCTGTGAAATGAAGAATCGAGATATGACTGCAGCAGGCCCCTCTGACCATTTGCTGACCCCTTATCAGTGTAAGCGTAGACATCTACAAACCACTTCCTGTGTGTCTCACCAGGTTTGTCAACCCGTCACGTAATGGATGACATAGCCCAGTGGAAGCACAGAATGGCTCATATCGCTATCACTCAGCACAGTGTGTTTTTAGTATTGAATTGCTTGGTTGCTATGAGCTCCTGTTGTAAACATGCTAGAAATGCAACAGGAGATGAGTCTTACACGACGTAGCTCCTGACCACAAATTACCACATGAATAAGGTATGGTACTGAAGGTACCTTGCATTTTGGAGTTGAGGGTAATACCCCTAATGAATGCTAAGGCAGATATTCCCCTTTACACCCCGTGCAGCTGCTTGAAATGTTGTAAGGAATTCCTGTGGGAGAGGGTTTTGTCTTTATGGACATCTCCATTGTGAGTTTGAGACGGTTTCCATGGCACCCTGTGGCTCTGACCACCTGTCGGCCTTTGACGTACGAGACAGTCGCACTGACCTTGAAAAGTGAACATTGGTGTTTGAGAGCTTTGCCAGTGAAAGTTGATGAATGCTCATTTTATTTTGAGAGAAACTATGATTGTTAAAAATACTGTGCTCATATTAAATGTAAGTATTATTGCCATTTTTGTGGTAGCCTGCATTAACTTGATCTCAACTTCCTTGATTGTCAGGAACCAAGTGGGTCCCCTACCCCAAAGAGGCCCAGAGGGCGACCGAAGGGCAGCAAAAACAAAACCACTGGCAAGGGCAAAGTAAGTCAGCGCTGGTTGCAAGTTGTTACACGGTGATTCAAATATAATTTCAGCAACAGCTAACATGCATACTGAGCCGGAATGACTCCAAGAAAAAGACGCAGCTTCGTAATGACTCTGCACGTGGCATTCGTCGTCTCATCTTGTCTTACAAGCATTTCCTCTTTCTAACCTCCGAGTCTTTCTGGCTGATAGCATTTTAACGGTAGCTAACCTCATCCTCTTAAAAGGATGTCCTGCTGTTACTTGTGATGTATTGGTTGGCTGCAATTTGGCTCCTTCCCTCCTGGTGTCAGAAATAGCCTGGCTAGGGTTTCCCATTGTAAAGACCTTGGTTTACTGGCTTTTCTTTTTTTTTTTTTGAGTGATGCTCACTCTGTACTTCCTGTCCTCAGTTTCCTGCAGCTTGCCATGCACAGTGTGGTGCAGGTGCAGAGGCCGCAAGACTGTTTCCAAGCTGACACTAAGCACCCCTCCACCCCCACCCAGCACACAGCCCTAGTTCTTCTCTGCCTGTCGTCTCCATAGCAACAACTGATTTTTCTCCCTCGCCCCAACCCTCCGGCTCCCCCTTGTGCGCTGTCTTCACTGCTATGTATGGGAAAAGGAGAGGGAGGGAGAGGGTGTGTAACCGCACATACATGTATGATATAGGTTTAGCATAACGGGCTGAGCTGCAGAGGGTTTGTGTCTCTGCTCAGTTCCACCAGCTGTCTCTGATCCTCAGACCAGGTGGCCAGCGAACTGGAGTGCCCTGTGTGCAGTTCCTGTTGGCCTTCCAGATAATAGCTAATGAACTCAATGCCCCTTTTCCATCTGTCTAATTGTTTAGCTGCTGCTGCCATCTGCAGGCAGTTAGGAGAGGAGCTCTGTGTATGGTTTTGTGCTGAAAAGTCTTTACTTTGACTGAGCAGATCAGTACACCTGTAGTCCTGTTAACCATGTACCCTTTTCTCTTGCAGAAGACAACAGCAGCCCCATCTGCAGGAGGAAAACGCAGGGGGAGACCTAAGAAGGAGGTAGAGTCCTTGGACAAACAGTGGAACATGAATGCACACATTTTAAACCATTCCTCTCCTAATTGAGTTATGACTGCTATGGCTGTCTGCAGGGTGAAACTGCTTTTTCCTAATTCCCCTGCCTGCCTCCTTCCTCTCAGATGAGTCATTTTTACTCATCACAGCTATTTTGGTGCTGGTGTGTTCATTTAGCTTCTTGGTCGCACAAGATCTCTGGTTGTGCTGAAAGGCAAATTTGGGCCTGCTCAACCGTTTTCTCCCCAGAGGGTTCCTAATCCAGATGTTGTGTAACTGACAGTGGGTTTTTTTTTTCCTCTCTCTCTGTTTTGGAACTGTGTAAAATAGCCAGACCACATTCAGCTGCTCAAAAAAAAAAAAAATGTTGAATGTAGGAAGACTCTGTGGTCTTGTAGTAACATTGTCATGAGCATGAGTGGTTAGGGCGTACTCTGGAAGAAGTCTGGATCGCATTAGTCATAGAAAGGAATGACCCAGAGTTACCCTCCTAACTAGCACTCATTTTTATGAATGAACATCTTGGACAGCGGTAGCGAGTGTGGAGTAAAGGAAGCAGGATGCCTCACTGTGACTCACCACTCTTATGAATCACTTTTCACTACAGATGGCTCACCCTTCCCCTGGGTGTTCTTCATGCCACAGTGGTTTATCAAAGATGTTTTTAATAACATTTATGTTTTCCATGTTGGTGCATGGGGTTGTTAAAAGTAAAAACAGTTGAGACATGAATCACAGAGGCGGCTTTTGTTGCTGAATATTGATGGTACTTAAGGGGCATTTTCCTAGTGGGCGTAGCTGAGGCTTGACTTTTTTTATGTTGCAGGAGAAGGAAGAAAAGACATCCCAGGAATCATCGGAGGAGGAGGAGGAGGAGGAGGAAGAAGAAGAGGATCAGTAATTCCCAACGCATGCTACCTCAGTCAACCTGACTTACTGTTAACCAGAACTGGGCTGTGTCTGCAACACCAGTGCCACCACATGACCACTGTTCACGACAGAGCCCTCTTGGCTTAAACGAGGGTTAACATAATACATATATCATGCAGCAGCACTGGATAGAACGATGGACCTTTTGCTCAAGCATAGATCTAAGAATTACATGAAAGGTAACAGCCCTGCTCTCCACATGTCATGTCTTACACAGGTCTTTTCTACTGGACAAAGCAAGGAGCCTGAATGTTTGTTTTCCCCCCAAAAGATGGTTTGTAGGACACTTAATGCTTAATATTATTTGTTGTACCCGCATCTGAGATGGTAGGGCGTATAGAGGTTTCTCCCTGTTTTGTACTGGACAACGGTGAATCTTGCGTGTGTGTGTGTGTGTGTGTGTGTGCTCACGCGTGTGTGCATTCATGTGAAGTGGTTAACCTTTCCCTTAGGATGAGAGAAGGTAACTTAAGGTAGGTTTTTTGGGGGGGTGGCGGTGTTTGGTGTTCCCCCTTCTCTTTGGCTAGCTGGCATAAATGAGTTTACCCAATCTCACCAGCATCAACAAATATTCCACCTTCTATAGAACCGCTTAAATTCGCTTTTCAGTCCTCGGTGTGTAGTAGATAATGTCAGAAATCAGACTAGTCTGATTAGTCGTACTGTTTTGTTCCTTTCAGTAAATACCATTTCGTAAAAAAACCCTGTGCTGCTTTTCATGTAAAAATAAAACGGATCTTTTTGTTCGTGGTGTTAAGGATAGGGTTGGCAGGATCTTAGACTGAGAGCATCAGTGTAGTTTCTTCAGGGAGCTTATACAAATGCTGTTACATTGGCGTCTTGTCTTCACACGGTCCTCCGTTTCCAAGCACTCGCTCAGTCACTTGTGAGACAAACTGCAGTTTGTCAAACAAGACGTTTGATTGTAGTAGTTAAGAGTTGGTGGCACTGCTGTCCAACAGGGCTGTGCATGTTTCCCCCCTCATTCCATCTAGTTCTCACTGCTTCATCTTCCTCTGTCCTTCTCTCTTTACTTAGTACAGTTGTATCCCTTTGGTCTTTAAGATGCTGAATAATGTCTTCTACAGGAAAACAAGATGCATCAGGGAACCTGCATTCACAGTCCACTTAACTGGTTTTTTTTTTTTTTTTTTTTCCGTCCACACACCTAAGCTGCTACAACCTCAGTTACGGAACCCGGAAAACTGCAAACAGGCCATACAGGGCCTGGAATCATACCTCATCAACAGCCTACTTTACCATATATATATATATACGTTTAACTGGTTTTCTGATTTGAAATGGAGGAGTTGGAAAGACGCGAGTACACTACTTTTTAATCCGACTGTATTAAAGTAATGTGTGCTTGTGTGCGATTGCAACACGTCTTGGCTTGTTCATAAGAGCTTGCAGACAGGTTGTCTTTTAAATGTGTGAAGCCAGTCAGGGAGACCTGTCAGCTTGACAACTGTGTTCGCTGACTGTGGTAGATTAGCATGTTTTATCTTATCATTTTAAACTTCTTCTGGTGCACTGAAATGTTGGTTCAAATTTTTATGGACAAATGTACGTTTGTGTGTGTGTGTGTGTGTGTGTATGTGTGTTTGATAGACTGTTCTGTTAGCCGCTGTGTGTTGGCCACAGCCACCCTCACCATACCCATAAAATAGACACTTTATCTTTTTTCCAACATCCTCCAGCTGCTCTTGACAATATTGGTGTCATTCTCCATACCAACTTCTTACATCCATTGATTTATAAACCATACTCAATAGGGCGGGATCATTCTTTTTAATGCCGTATATAAATGTACAATGTCTATATTTCTATGGTGCCCTACAACCATTTGTATCAGAAATGGTGAATAAAGAGAATTTTCTGTCGCTTTTGTATAGTGTATATGTATTTGTTTTTTCCAGAGGCTCGAGAGAACACAGGTTACGATGCATTATAATTTCACTTGTATTAACTTGGCTGAAGCAAATGACAATGGGCCTCCTTAACTCATTTGTGCATAGAAATGTTCTTACTTTGCAGACAAACTACCGCCAGATTCATGAAGTGTTCACACAAGTCAGTTTTGTATACCACCATGCGCGTGGGTGAATCTGAATTGTTTGAGGAAAAACAGGTGTGTGGCTGCAATGCACAATTAGCCTAGGGCCACGCACACATTTCTCTATATAATAACTGTTCTAGAGGTGGGTGGTGGAGAAAGCAATGCAGTCACAAGAGAAAGGCAGGATTTGAACTTGCTATCGGGTGAGTCCTCTGTGTCCAGTGACTAAGATGCAGCGGTTCCAGGGAATTACATAGCTAAACTTGTTTTTGCAGGCAGAAACAGCATACAAGTCATTCGTCACTCTTAAAACACAAACTGTATCAGAAGATGTGCTTTCTCCTGTAGGAACGTGCTGCAACATGTTCCAGCAGGGCTTTAATACTTGCTTGGAAGTAGATTAGAATCACCTAATCACCTATATATCCTTCATACCTTTTAACAGATTGCAAACTAACCCGGTTGGTTACCAGTTAACACTGGCTACATGTGCATAATTTCATACAACTTGAAATTTGTGGGCCAAGACAATAAAAACAATGAAAACCAGAATTTACATTTTAATATAAACTGCATACTTTAATATACTTGCAGGACAGACACTGGGATTGTTGAATATTTTTTATTATGACAGCAAGTGATGAGCATGACAGGACATTAATTTCATTATTTAATCTACATTTGGCCAGTGCATTAGTAAATTAATGGATAATGCCTTGTTATTAAACAGGTAACCGCATTAACTATTAAAGTCTTAACAGGCCATGCATTTAGTTAAAAGGTGTTTGTACATTTTTCTAAGACAGATGAGCCTTCATAGTATGTGCATGGTCTGAGGCAGTTCTAAATTTGTTTGCAGGGTACAAGGAAATTTAGCTAAGAAAACCGATAAATCCAAGATTTGTTTGTGTACATTTTCCATACACTTTAAATGCAGCCCATTGCACAAAGTTACAACTTCCAGCTTTGCTTCAGTCAACAGCTTTATCAACCTTTCCTCAAAACAGTAAAATTTCCTCACATTTACATCAGTAGTCTTCCACAGGTTCACCAGTGTAAATGTCACATGATGAAACATTAGTAAAGTTTTGTGAATGTCCCATTTCAGTAGTTTTCACAAATTAAAAATATCTAAATGATGCATAAGAAAAATAAGCAAGGAGATGCAAGAATGGCCGGGGAGCAGCTAGGAGCATGTTGTGGGATCAAGATGTTTTTGGGTCCTGGCCACAGAAACATCACCTATGTACAAACTCTTTCTGAAGCACCACCAGCTGTCACACCTGATCATATCACAAGTTATAATACATGAATCACTGGACTGAGTGCTGATTCATCAAGGAAAAAAAACGAGGTTTCCTGAGTGCGTGATACAGTCAGACCTATGGCATTCATGACAAGATTCTTCAGCTGGATGTAAATGAGTGCTGGTGCCATGCCGTGTTGACAGGACATATTTAGGACACTAGTCACCACTCATTTTGTGGATGAGAGGAGGCCGGTGTTATTTAACTCCATATCAGGCTTCTCATGCCATTGATAAGAGTCAGAGGATTTGGCTAAACCACAGAAAAGATCCGGCCGCGTTTGTGAGTAAATTAAAACCAAAGAGGGAATGTTCAACCTTTCGACTCAGAATGAAACTGAAATCAAAGTTATCATACCCAACCTAACTTTAACAGCCAATTCTAACATTATCAATACAAGTCTGGAAGTGGTACTGCAGTAGCTCAAACATTGCATCAAAGAAACCATATTTGTTTTTAATACACTGCACCCTTCCTCTATACACCAGCCAGTCCAGGCCATGCGCACAAACCCTGTCACAGCAGGACTGATGATATTTAAATTGTGCAGAACGTTCATGCTCTTACCACAGCCCCTAAATTACAGTTATGCCTACTGCCTACTGCAACCCACAGGAACATAACTGCCTGCCACATGGTGCCCGCAACATTATAAACAACAGAGTAAACCTGCAAGAGTCTGTATCTGAAGTTTACATTGCACCTTTCTTTACTTTGAGTCATAACAACACTGAATACCACAGTAAAAAAAACAAAGTTTGAATAAATAATTTCAAATAAATATGTTTAAGGTAATCTAGCGCATGGGACTGGCATCAGAACCTTGCAAATGAACAGTCATTCTGTATGTAAAACAGGAAAAGAGGGAAATCTTGAGGTTCTCAAACATAATTGCAAACAGTAGCAATGAAAACAAAAAGTCATATGCATGTCTTCAAACTAGATGGATCTCAGCCTTGGTTTAGTATCATCATGCATTGACATCTTTGGACAGAAGAGGGCGTTGCTGTTGATAACCTCCCGCCCAACCTGGCACAATCTGAGGACATAAAATACAAGTGTTAGGAGAGTTTAGTACAGTAATCTTTACAGCCATGACATGAGTGTAATATGGTTTCCATTAATCATGTGTAAAGCAACATAGGAACAACTTTCCACCAAAGAAATAGTCTCAGTATTCTCAATATCAGGGACACTGTTTCTGAGTCTAAGCACCACAAATTAAATTCACGTAATTTCCTCTGTATGGATTAATAGCAGAAGCCTCAGTGGCAGATATCACAGAACCGCAAACGTATTGGTAGAGCTGACCCTTTAATGATAGCCTCTTAAACAATTTAAAACTTGAGGTGAGGCAAAGTTGTCACCATTTCACATTTCCTCAAATGTGTAGTCAAACTTACTGAGCAACTGTTCCTATGGCCATTACTGCCACCTAGTGTTTCTCATGGCTCACTACACGTTTTCTGACTGGATTCAATTAGGTCAATAATTTCTGTTGTGTGTTTCTAACCATAATCCTCTATTTCTGTTACAGACATTTCTAAACCAGGGGTATCAGAGGAGCTTCAGAGGCAGGTAAGAAATTGGTGGTTTAACCATTATATAACATAAAAAGTTCTATTTAAAAGACATTTGAATATTGATGACATCTTGAAACTAGCCACTAACTGATCTGAAGCTTGCACATACAACAAGTGGTGCAACCATTCTATTGTACAACAACGACTATGTCTACTGCACTTATTGCAGTTATGTTTCTAAGTGGGAGAGGAAGTGACTAACCAAGTGAGGAACTGCCTTTCTGTTCAGAGTGAAGGGCACAACCAACTACCAACTAAGCCACAGAGTAAAACAAAATACACAGGGCAACAGCAGAGAGTGTCCTCATGCTGTTCCTTGTATGAAATGTGGTCAGTGGTATTAAGATTTGGTCTTGCTAAACCCAGCCCTCTACAATTAGACACATCACATATTATAATACTTTTTTTCATATTAAACCTGATTTAGAACAAAACACTTTTTAACCTATGATCCTACTATTGCCTTACTGAATTCATAACATTTGCCATCTGCATGTAAAAACGTCCCAGAGCACAAAACCCCAAAAATGTGAAAACCAACGGTGCATCATACCCTCATGTCATCTTCTCTCCACAACATTTCCTGTTCGACATCAGTAAGCTCCTCAGAAGGATCGTATGTGTAAACAGGTAACAGCTGATGACGTAGCCTCTCGATTCTGAAGGACAGAAGAAAAGAAACAATTTCACTAATCACATTGAGACACAGAAGTGAAGCAGAAGTGCATTGTAACAGGAAATGTCACATGTAGACTAAAAGTCTTACCTCTTTTTCTTACGGATATACATGACCTGAAACAGAAGAAACAAAGATTTTAATGTATACTCTGCATAAGTTGGTCTGTTAATTCTGACTTATCTCAGTGCTTTTTAATTCTGCCATACATTAACTTTATTATTTACACTGAACATTAGAATTCTTCAACACACTATATGTTTATGAGAAAGTCAACTTTGTGCAAGTTGTCCAACCCAACTAACCACAGCTGCAGCTATTCCAATGACGGTGATGAGGAGAAATGGCACCAACACATAGCTGACTGCCACATCTCCATTTGGGATGGCAGGGGACTGAGTAGTGCTGTTCATTGCAAAGAGAGATGCAGGTGGCTGCTTGTGCAGGGCCTTTACAAGCAGCAGACCCCCTCCCTATGCAAGACACTGTGCAGCAGGCTGTCTCCTCAGACGGTCCCCTTGTTGTTTATACCTCATCCTTGTCGTTCATGTGACTTCCGCATGGTATCACCGCCCTCCCCAATCAGTGAGGAAACTATGAGAACACGGAATGAAAAGAATTAGCAGAATTATACGCACATAGCTGCAAATAGGTTGCTTGGGGAACCATCTAAGTTGCTTATGTTGCAAACGCCCAAAAGATACAGTTGGTCTTGTTAGCAAGTAACAGTTACCTTACAGGCCACTTTCCTCGCTGCAGTCTGCCGATATTTTCCCGCGTGCCGGAAACAGACAGTCCTTCCTAACTGCGTTAGGCACCTACACTAAATCTAAAATCACCACTGCTGTTCAAAAGCTTTGCTATTTAAAAAGTCCACACATACCTCGCGGCTATGACTTAGACCCGTTAGCCAGCGCTACCAGCAACACAGCTACCGTTAGCAGGCGCTAGTATAAGTTGTACTGTCGCACAGACAAGTTGAAACAAGCCCTAAAGTATCAATGCTAGATCGATTTCTAACGAGCTAAAAGAGACCTGTTTTTAAATTTGGACAAATTCAAATACATTCTCAGTCACTGTGCGACACCTCAATTTAGATAACGTTAAACTGTTGCTGCTCACAAGTATAACACCTGCATTTTTATCAAAAGCAGCGTCGTCTTCTTCTTCTTCCTCCTCTTCTCCTTTTTTCCCCCCTTCAAACTCTTCTTCCCTTGATTTTTTTATAATAGTTGGCAAACAGCGTTCAGGTGTCACCCACACTGCCACCTATTGGACTGCAGTGTGAATCAAAATGGCTGTTATGTATTGTTCTTTCTCTTGCTTGTTTGTTTTTGCTTTATTATCAGCGATTTCTAATGAGCATTGAAATGCACTACTCAAAGAAAAAGATCTGTTAGGCAGCGTTACCACCAATAAGATAAAGTCATCTCATACTCTTCACTGTGTTGGAGGCAGGTTCATTTCCAGTTTTTGCACTGTCAATCTATTGGCACTAGATGTCACTGAAAACCTGTGAATTAACAAGAAGAAAGAATTGTTATGGTTCGAATTGGTCATTTCCTATGCACACTTACACTGTATGTTTAGCTGATATACTACAGTATGCTACTAAGGTGAATCAGCAGAACAGAATGATTGCAGTGTTATGCTCTTCCTTAATTCTTTAGTTGTGAATTCGATAAGCACTGGTAAATCTCTATAATTGCTTCCATAGAGATAAAAATTTACCTCAACAGTAGCATAACACAACTGAAAGGCATGTAAGCTTTCTGTTTATTAGTCTTGGATAGGAACTGTTGGTGTTAAGGGCTGAACTTTTCATTTCATCATTAGCATAAAGTTATTACTCTTCAGAGTCAGAACATCCTGTTAATCAGCTTTAAAGGCATGTGTTCTTCCAGGAACCTCGTCTCTTCTTCCTGTTTGCATTGCCTAACTTTAATGTTTTCTTTTCATTTCTTCTGTAGAAAATTGCATGGCTCATTACTACCTCTGTTGGACTGCAGACAGATTAAATTTCACAAGGGTTTATTATCACACCAATCCATACAGACTGAAGGCAGGGGATGCATATTACCTTTTATTATACCTGTTTACACAGGTTTTATATCGTCAGATCGTTAGGTTGGTACAAAATGTATGAAGTGTGCCCGACTAAACCAGCAGGTGGACAGTTCTTCCTTATGTACCTGAAAGAGGATGGCTATTAAAAATGTCTGCCAAGTAATCAAAAGACAAAAACACCACAAACAGACCACATATGGCGGCATCCCTCCCCTGCAGTGTAATGCAATGTGGGCGTGAATGACAAGACAGGAGGTGACGCCTCCTCTTACCATCTGCTCTCTTTATTGGTTGGAAAGTGGAAGTACATTTAGGGCTCGCCCCCTATAGAAACGCCCATATTATATGTATATTATAAATGGTGAATTACGTATAGTAAAAGATATTTATTTCTCTCTCAGATATGACCCACACAAAACTTTAATCCTGATAAAACCTTAAAACTGCAAATGACCCATCCCCACATGCACCTGCTGACACATCTAGCACAGAACCCTTAAGCTCAGGGGACTAATGCTGTGGGAGTCATTTAAAATGTTGTGTTTCCAGCTTGCAGTGGTGGAAAGTAACGGATTACATTTACTCGCGTTACTGTAATTGAGTAGTTTTTTGTGTACTTATACTTTTTAAAGTAGTTTTTAAAATCTGTAATTTTACTTTTACTTAAGTATGTTTTGTTTGAAGCATTGTACTTCGCTACATTTTAAATCATATTTGTTACTGAGTAAAAAATAAATTAATTCAAAAAATAAAAGTAACGGGGAAGGAAAAATGATCGCGCCCCGGAAGCACTGCACTGATTGATTGATTGATTGATGGGCGGGGTGAACAAGCGCGTTAAACTCAGATGGACGAAGGAGGCGCCAGTGATGGAGCCACAGCTGAAAGCGAAATGCCATCAAGTTCCTCATATAAAGCAAACCCCTGGCCGTATTTAAGCGACTACTTTCATTTTAACAGCTTTATTATGCAGTGTAAGATGTGTTTGCCAAAGTCGACTGAACTGGCAGCTTATAAAAACTCGACATCAAACCTGCGCAAGCATGTTGAGGTAAGTTTAACTTACTAAGTTAATGTATTTATAGTTTTCATAATTGTACTGTTGCGTTGCCTCAGTGTGTGACATTGTCAATGTTGTTAGCATGAGGGCTAGTAATTAACAGGGACAACGCATAATTGAGCAGTGTCACGACTGTCATACGAAATGAATGAAATGTGCTACATGTTGGAGTAGATCTGCTGATGTTGCAAAAGATTTAAGCATTACTGTAACATTAGTCAGTGTTACTCATAGGCACATGAGTTGTGTTGCTGTCCCATGAGCACATGGGACAGCAACACAACAAAAATACTACTTTTAGGATGATAAAGGTTCCACAGCCAGGACTAGGTCTTCGTTAAATCAGGATATTTAAGTAACTTTTGTTTTTTTTTTTAAATGTCTTAGGAAAAATAATGCTCTGGCATATTTTAAGATATGTTAGTGCAAATTATTTTCTTTTGTAACAGCTTAAACATTCTTTTTAGTCTGGGACTGGCCTTAGGCCTGGTCTGTGAAACCAAAACAGGTGCACAAAATAACGAAGCAGGTGAAACTAATGTGAGTGATGAACGTAAAGAAAAGACCAGAACTAAGGTGAAACAAAACAGGAAATGGTTTCAAAATAAAAGCCAGACAGGAAGCAGTGGAACCGAATCATGACAGTCTGAGATTTATATCCCCTTGTCTTTTTTGAACTACACTAAAATCCCTGCTGTTTAAAAAAGTAACTCAGTTACTTTTACTCAGTAAGTTTTTAATGAGTTACTTTTACTTGAGTAGATTTTTAGCCTGGTAACTTTACTTGTACTTCAGTAAAATTCCATTGAAGTAACAGTACGTTTACTTGAGTACAAAATGTTATTACTCTTTCCAGCTCTGCCAGCTTGCATTAGCTCACTCTTTTACCTGCAGCCTATTTCTGCCATCCATTGAAAGAAAATCGCTGGGCCATCCCCCCCGACGCGCGCCCGCGCTGTGGAGCTCCCCCTTGCTGCTCGCATCGTGATCTAGTGGATGCAGAGCCTTGCAGAGAGCGCAGGGTCACCGTCTGTCATTGCAAGGGGAAATACTGAATTATTTGCAGCATAGGCTATCGGGTAGTAGTCCGTCTCAGCAGCAGCGGCAGCATCTCTGGTAAGTCATTGCTGCACTGGGAAAAGAAGCTGAGCATCCTTTTATTAAAGGTTGACGCAGGGATAAAGGAATCTCGCATCATTTCCCATCGTTTGGATAATGTTCCAACCGCTCTCTGCTGTAATAGCGACCAATTATTACAGATTCATTAGCAATAGCCTACTATAGCTATAGCCATTTTGAATTATGCATGCGTCATTTTATATGGTGTTCTGTTGTTTGTATACGACACAAGTGAGGGGAGCCACCTTGGATCATCTTGGATTGTTGCAGGCTTTGCCTGCAAGCATGCATGACCATACATTATGGAGCCGTTTAGTTTTTCTCAGTCTGCCCAATGGTCTTAGTCTCTTGAAAATCATAGGACGATACAGGGGATTGTTTTAGTTATGCAGCTCTTTCTTTTGCCAGGATGAGCAAATTTGACTTTTTGTCCAAATTGTATTAGCAGTGCACCATGTTTAAATAGCTGTTCTCAGCACGGAAAATGTCCATAAGATATCAAAGACTGTTTCCTGTAAACTATAATATATGGAGATGGTGGTCAGGGCTGAGAAATAATTGTCATTTTATGTTCGTTTCCATGCGCTAGATGGGTAAACAAGACTGGGAACATGAACAGCGTCGACCAAAGACGTAGCAGTGATCACTATTTTATTTAGCGCAATGCATTTTATCGGTGGAAATACAAACGAGAGGGGTCAGGAATAGCCTTGTTCTCTATTTGAAGATTTCATGGTGAAATGGACGCGAATGAGAGCACTCCGTACTGACGTTATGTAATTGGTTGTCACAGCGCAGCGAGGAGCGTCTTTTTCACTAAGCAGCACCACAGAGGAGGAGCATCCTGCTTTCTACATGGGAGTAGGTGCATGTGGCCTTTTAATCATTCATCAGATCTGCATCCAGGCTTACAGCTGACTAAAGTATCCCATAACCACGTTTATGCCTTTAGCAGCAGAGATCTTATCATAAGCTACAATGATACTGATGCTGTGTTTTAGGGGCTGGTTAGTGGTAACTGGGGCGGCACATTTCCAAACCCTGCGGCTCAAATCCTCTACCAAAACATCCTGTCATTGCTGATTAAAGGGAAGTTACGAGTTGTGTGTAAGATATTAAACTCTTTTTACGGTGGCCGACACGGTCACAACACATGCAAGACACAAACGCGGTTTTGAACAAAACTCATGCAAATGGAAAATGCTGCATTAACCAAAAACACTTTTAACTGAAAACACATGCAAGAGAGAAAACGGAAATAGGGGGAGCCCGATCGCAATGATGGGTTCATCCCAACATTAAGGAAGTAGAAGAAGAATAAGTAGTGAATACTACCGCGAAAATTAAGAAGAAGAATAATACGGCAAAAGAACTAGCTAAGCTAATTTAAGTTATAAGAAGAACAAGAAGAAGACCACGGGGCATTTTCAAGGTTACAGAAACTGTACGTTTTTCATAAAGTTCCTTTTTAAATAATTGCCCGTCATCTCTTACGGTACTATACGGATTTTTTAGAAATACATCCACACGCTGCTTCAAAGGCTGAAAAGAGCGGAACCGTTCATCTCTGGCCTCAAGAGACAGAAATGACTAACTGCTGAATGATCACATCAGCTAGGATATTGACAGAGAAATTAAGGTAATTAATAGATCATTTAAATTCAGTAGTCACCCATTTGACAATATATATATCACAGCATCATAGAGCTGTTCTCATCTCACTGTTGAGAGGAGAATGCAGAAAACCCACCTTGCTAATGAGACTTCTTACACATGACTTTAATCAGTCTGAATAACCTATGCACTTTAACTGTCCCTGTACAATATTTTCTTACCAGCTGGGATGCCACCTGCCAGCTGCTTGCCCTGGTGGAATGTTTGCACTATGCTCTTCATCTGTCAGATGCACCAATCAGCAACCTGCCTGACCACTGGGAATTTCAGGAGGCTTTTCTCCTGTAGCTTCATAACCACCTTAACCAGGCCCTGCAAACATTCTTGCCTGAAGATGAGCACAGAAAGCTCACCAACCTTGTGTGCATCTCTGGGGGAAAAAAATTGTGGAGGGTGTGAAGTCCACAGCTTCCAACAGTGACAACCTGAGCACCTCCGTAGAGCTCTGCATGCTCTTTCTGGAGAAGATCCACCAACTTGAAATTCACACTGGGGCCATCCATGCCAACTGATAGTAGTTCCCTCATATTCAGTTGTGTAACACATTCCTGTGAATCAACAAAGGAGAAAGTCTGTTAAAAATAATCATTCAGATACAGTAAAATAGATCTCATCATTCACAAAGCTCGGCACTTGGGGCAAAGGAGAAGCATTACTGCATACACATTTGATTTCAAGCATTAGTTGGTATTTTAGCAATGAAATTGTGTTTTTTCCAACAGCAAAACTTGGGCCAAATATTACATTTCTATAACTATAAGGTTATTGAACTTAACAAAACACTAAAAACGTTTTTTTCCTTGTACTTTGGAGCTATACCCCACAGATGAATAAAAGCAGATAGGCCTACAGCTTTCATTCAAGTGACTGCAGGCCTTTGGCCAATTTAATCCCTTTGTGTGGCTAACAATAAGTTTGCCAAACATTGTCCTATAACACATAAAATCTTTGTGAATAAATAATTCTTGAAATAAGTGACCACAGGACACCGCCTAT